GTGGGTGTGGGTGGGTGTGGATGTGGATGAAGAAGGCACACATCCACTCACACCCAAAACCATCCACACCCATACCCACACCCACACCTCACATCCACACCCTAGGTTCTAATTTAGTATTGGGGGCTCAAAACCTTTTTTAGGTTCTGTGTAAGCTACAGAACCATTTGTTGGTTCTAGGCAGTACCTTCTTTTTTAGAGAGCGGATTATTCTAAACCAGAAATGATTAGCAGCAACGACGAATCTTACTTGTTTATAGTGATCAGTGTTTACATGTACCCGATAAGGATTTAAGAGAGGGTTCATGTAAAAATCACCCAAAAGTCACATATCGAAGCTGCGGGTCATATCTCAGAAAAATCTCATTTATACCTTGAAACAATCCCTATGAAAGGTTAGTAAGAAATACACAATATTAGAATTTTAAAACGCTGTCCTGAAGAGTTAGCCAGGAAACACTTTTTATCCTGAAAAATATGAAAAAAACGAGGCTTTTTGTATTTGACTCAGAAGTCGGCTTTATTGTTACATGATAAACAAAAACCAGTAATAACATGTGAAATTGAAAATACAAGCGTTGAAACAGAGTACAATTATCATCTGTACGTTGATATTTCCCCTAATATTCCTCATTCTGTTGTATTTTTCTCCGGCGATCTGGCTGCGAGAGAAAATACTTCTGAACGTAACTGCACGAATTATCACAGTTTGTTCGAATTTTTAATTCTGCAGCCACAAGTTTCAAATCCATTTTGTTCCTATATTGGATCCATGCCGGAGGTAGGCAGCTCCATCATTTGCCGACTCTAGCTCCATCAAGAAAAAAGATGCTCCGACTCCCACTTTGACCAGTTTTAAAAGTCTTTTCGAACATTTGGAAACCAATCTCTTATCAATTCCTTTTATTTCGAACTATCAAGGTTATTACAGATAGAAACAGAACCAAAATTAAATACAAAAAAAATATATTTTCGAAGGCAGCAATCAAATCTGTTCGTTTTGGATTAAATCGAAATAAACTTTGAACATTGTCAACTACGGGAACCCGACTTCGCTCAGAAAAAAATTATGTTGATGAGGGTACTGGTAAACCGTTTCGCGCAAGAGAAAAAATGTTTTTCGGGATGGTGGGCCCACCCGTCAGAAAGTTCCTGGTTATATGCATGCTGTCAACACTGACAATGAGTCTTTAGCAAACGTATCTGAATGTGAACACATGAACATGCCACTAGACGAAAGTGCCCTTTTTACGGGAGTTCTAGTTGGCGGTAGGCTAAGTAGACGAGACCCAAGTTTGCTCGAAATAGAATAGGACTCAGGCTTGGTAAATATAAGATCCCTGCCAATGATTTCTTTCTTTAAGCAGTACAGCATTTTACTCGAAAAGTGTCGCTCCTGTTTACAATGGGAAAGCATTAAACAATGAGTGTATATGTATAGAGGGATGGCAAATGTAAACCGGAAATGGGATACAAAAAGAAAAAGGAAAAAGAAAAAATCCTGAAAATCAGAAAAAACCAGAAAGTCATCAGAAAAAAGTGCTGAAAATCAGAAATTTTCTGAAAAATCAGAAGATCTGGCAACCCTGTTTATGACTCCTTTGTCTCAAACGAGAAAATCTTGTTCGCTTGTATACTTTATCTAGAAAATTCTCAAATTACGTTTGACGTTTATCAAATTAAGATAGACCAAATTCGATTTTTTGGAAAGAAATGAAAGAAAAACCTTGAGTGAGAGCTGGCCGTGAAAACGTATGTGTCCTACTTTGCTCAATCACTGGCGAAATTACGCGTAACTGCAAAACGTAGTGCGGTGCATTATTACGCTAAACTTCGCCGAAATTTCGGTGAAAAAATCGCGATTTTGCGTAATTACAACGAAAAAATCGACACTTCAGTAATCTTGGAGAAGCGCACATGTCGAACGTTCCACAATCAACCCTCAAAACCAGTCATATCTGATCTGACTATCGCATAAACTGATTCCCACACTGCCAGCTGGGTTCAATGAACTATTCATCTCGTTTAATTTCACAATTACTCTTTTCTTCCTGTTTTCTTATTTTGTCAATAATTCGTCCCATCAATCCTACATTTGACTCATGTCACGAAGATATTGATCAATCTGAACGAATCCTTGCACCAATATCATCGATATCGTGATAACTTGGATCAGACAGACGAATTTTTGAGCCACGTGGCCAGCTTTGCGATCCAAATGACCTTAATACAGAGAATTAATTTACTGAAAAGATTATTTCGCTTACCACGACCCTTGAGTACCAATATGCTCGATCGTACGATAAAATCGGTCGAGCCACGTCATTGATGGAACGATGACTTCGATCAGTGAGACCAATCTGTCGAATAAAGTCCTCGATTGTCCGACTACACTAACCTAAAATAGACAGAATTACTTGAGAAAGGAGAGAATCCCTCTTACTTTAAAGTTGAGCACTAACGTGCTGCATCGGACGATACTATTGATCGATGCAGATGAATCAGTCGGACCATATCATCCATCTCACGATGATATCAATCAGTCGGAAGAATCCTTCGAATTATGTGGTCGATTGCGCAAATCCATTAATCTAAAACAGAGAATTAGTTGAGAATTGGAAAAAAGCTGTTAGCGCAATCCCTTTGGGATTAAAAATGTGACACACCATGCAGCTGCTCTCAACAGTTATACAAATCTTGTTTTATTTCATGAAACCTGGTAGCCTTTCACTCATCATTTCTCATTCAACCACTAGAGCTACAATAAAGAAAAAGCAAATATACTCTCCTCAGAAATTAGTGACACATATTCACTAATCCTGTATCAAAGATCGGTGATATTCAGCGACGCCTGGGGAGCCCGTCGATCAATTCCCCGATGATCTTCAACCCTATCTGTCACGGCCTGTGGGGAAGGAGGAGGAGTGGGTCCACATTTCAAACCCTAAACACATCAACACTCCTTTTCCATTGTGTTTCACAAAATGTTTTACCTTCCTGGACACTTGTGGACTAATGTCGTGAAATGGGCAACGATTTGATTGATGAAGGCAGGTAGGTCGAGCCAGATCATCCATGGAACAATGATGTTGATCAACGAAACGCAAGGAATCTGCTGATTGATATCGTCAGTCGTGTCATCGGATTGCATTGAAAGAGAGAATTCGTTTAGAAACAAGCAAGTTTCACTTAACTTCAGTGTGCTAGAGAGATATTATCGATCATACAATGGTTGATCATTTCGGACGAATCGGTTCAAGAATATTCTCGATGGTGTTGTCATGTTGATGTACAATACAGAATGAATAGAGAATATAGTTTTTCTTAAGGAAAGATTTGTATCAGACTTCGACTGATCGGATCGAATCAGATTCCGATCATTAGAAATAATCTTAATGAAGTGGGATCCGATCAATGTGCTTTCATCTCAGTTATTATCTTGTGCTGTTATGCAAGTTATGATGTATGAACGGGAAAATATCACATAACGCTTCCTACGTGACAGCCTCGCATAACTTTGGTGAAGTGATCAAAATATGGCGTAGTATGATCACGCTACGTCGAACTTCGATGACTTCGACGAGATTACGCGAAACTTCGTCGAAAGTTAATGGCTACGCGTAACTTCGCCAAAACAGAGAAAAAACAGGTCACATAGGAAGATATTACTGAGTATAGCATTATCATAAAGTGCAACTTTTCTCTGGGTGTGAACTTTATCTCCGTTTTCTTTCTCATTGCAGGGTCCTCTGAGAATGGTAGAGCAGTTGATTATGAAAATCTTAAAAGCAGGACAAATTCTGGGAAAAGCACATCATTTTTGCCGCCTATTGAGCCACCGAAACGACTGAAAGTTCGTACCAAGAGTCCCAATCCTTCTTCAAATATTTCCTGTCCGAGAATTACCACGTTAACAAAATATGATAAAACATCACAACGACGGCGGTTCAGTGACATTGCTTTAGATTGGTCTCGAGATATGGAACGACGCTTGTTGGTTTTACGTGACATGTTGCCATTGTCAACCGTCAATTCTACCTTTGGAATGCAAACACAGCATACCGGTCGTAACGATCCAAGTATCGTTCCAAGTCCACATTCTTCGTTGTCATCATCTCCATCTGCATTACTCGCTTCGACACAGCAGCAAAAGAACATTTCATTATTGAATATCGACCTTCAAACACTCTGTCAACATTATTGTCTTACAATTCCTTGTACGACAACTATAAGAAGCTTGATCGACATCATCTGGCGTGATATAACTTTTCATGATGAACATTACACTCAAGAATCGCATATTCTTCTTCTTTTCAATCCGCGACTTCATATATTCGTTCAAAGTAATCCGAAAGAACTGGTTAACGATTTTCTTTCAATTCTGAAACGATCTTCCACGAATCATTACACAGATTTCTATATTTATGGATTACCTATCGAGGCCAATGGTAAGATGTACGATTTTGAGAGTGATATTTATACTGTTCTAAGAAATGCGGATTCATGGCAGCCACTTTATTTCAACGATTGCAAACAATTACCTCGACCGCAGAGCATATTTTTGAGTAGCCTGTTTGCACTTAAACAATATTTCAAACCAGAAGACAAATTAACAGGCATACGAGCCGTAATGGAAGCGCAATTCTTTCTTCTATTGAGAAAATGGCTCTTTCCCCCGGCTATTCTCGCATTGAAACATGCCATTGAAGGTTCGATGTTTTGGTTTGAAAAGGCTTTAATCATGGATGCCTTGCTACAACTATTGAAATTAATGTGTCCTGAACGAGTTTATTCTCAGGAACTGTGCGACTTCATACCATTTCTATTCAGCTGGCTTCTGGAACAATGCGATCCGACTATTAAGCAAGAAGATTGGTTTCAATTAATTCAATTAATTGATTCGAACAAGAATGAACGATCCTATTTTCAAAATCCCGTTACAACATCAAAAGCCAAACGGAAAGCACTCTTTTTGGAAGAGTTCGATGGGATTCACTCTCATAATGATGTACAACGACATGTCGATATTCGTTCTTTAACGCTTTACTTGACAAAAACGACAAATCATCGTTCCAATTTTGCATGTCAATGCGATCATTATGCTATTTATGATTCGATCGATATTAGTTCGTCTATTATGAAGAAACCTGCGCGTTGGACGCAAGTGGAAATGGATAATCATTACGAGACTATGGCCCACAAATATCCATGGCTTATGATTATAACGCGCGGTGCCTTGAATGCAAATGTGAACAATCAACTCGCACTATTGAACAATGATCGAACGGTATCACTTGTTTTCTCTCCACAAAAAGTCATGCGTCCGCACTGCGAGACACGACAGAATGCGGTGTACTTTTTTCATATTTTTGATCCGTTTCGATGTTCGAAAGTGACACCATATTTAACAGTCGAAGCCAACGAGTTCGTCAATGAACAACAGGATATGCCGGATCCTCGTCTTCCCGTCTATTTCAATTCTAATTTGTGCGTTGAGCCCACTATCCAACCATTTTCAAATAGAAATCCGAGCCAACCAGCGCACCAAGTCACAGTTATTCTACTTGATCATAGTCAATCAATGTACAATTGCAGAATTGTTTCTCCAGATGGCACGAACGAATTGACTCACATTGATATGGCAAAAGCGATGTTGGGCATATTGAACGATAATTTAATTTCGGCAATCGGAGTTCATGTAGTTGGTCTTGTCGAATTTGCTACTGAAGTCAAAGTGACATGTTCGATTACTCGAAATCATGACGAATTCGAAAAAGCACTCGAATCAGTTGTCGACAATCGTGAATGGACATGTATGTACGACGCTCTTAATGTAGCGATATGTATGATAAAAACATTTGTAAGCAGTCCTCTTCGAGCAGAACGAAACTGTCGAAAACTTATTATTTGCCTATCCGATGGTATCAATAATCATGGTGAAACAACAATCGAACAGTTACACAAGTTGGTCAAACGAAATAATGTCGTGATCGATTTTGTATCATTCTTACGAGATAATCAAATGAAAACTTCTATGGAAATTCGTACTGTGCAAGAATTTCGAGTATTATGCGAGAAATCTGGCGGTTATATCTATCGAAATCTTCGTCTTTTATCAAATATTGAACTAGCAGCCATGTTCGAGCAAGAGGCTGCCGTGTCGCTTTCGAAACGCGCCTGGACATCGCATGGCGTTGTTGACAAGCCTGAACGCCATGTTCCTTCGATGTTAGAAGAAGAAGCAGTTGATAATCCGTTGTTGAAAGAAAATCCGAACCATCTATCTCGAATACGTCGTATTTTAAATGAGATCAATGAAATTAAGAGTCAAATCTTTGAAAACATAATTGTTTATGTTGTACGTAGTAGTATCGAATTTTGGAAAGTGATTTTGAAAGGACCTTCTCGTACACCTTATGAAAATCGATACTGGATGGTTTATGTCGAATTCAATCCACGCTATCCGAATTATGCGCCTGATGTTCGCTTTCACAAGCCAATCTACCATGTAAATATCAGCGGTGATGGAAAGATTTGTCATCAGATCTTCGATCAAGCCTGGTCTAAAAACACAAAGATGATCGCCGTATTCGAGAATATTCTTGATTTACTCAAAACACCCAATTTCACCGATGCTATGTCGATTGAAAAGGCTGCTTTATATAGAGATAATCCTAATGAATACGGGAAGCAAGCAATAGAACATTCGCGTAAATATGCGAAACATGCGGTAGAAGACTTGAAACGCGAATATAAACTTGAATGTGATCAATAATAATCTTTTCTGAAAGTTAATAGAACACAAGAAAACTCCAACGAGGGTGTGAGTGTGGGTGTGAATGATTTAAAAAAAATAAAATCAATCAATAGCAGGTAAGACACGTGTTTCGATAAGTGCTAACAATGGACCTGTTTGTACTGTCAAGCGAGATGGACGACCGGGTGGGGTGCAAATGATCACATTCACTGAGAAACTAACGCATTTAAAATATGAGCTGCTGATGGCTTACTTTGACAAAGATATTCAATTTTTAAGTTTCACATTAATTGAGTGCAGAAACATGATAATACATGAAATATTCATATCAGCTTTTAATTTAATCATCAGATTTGT